CCCACACACCCCACACCCAATACCCACACACCGACACTCACACTAACATCCACACCCACCCACACCCACACCCACACCCGCACCCACAATAATCAATCAGACATAGTCGTGGCCAATAGTGAGAGAGCCACTATTGGTGTTTTTTTTGGGTATAAGAATGGAGTTTTTTCGACACAAACACAGTATTCAACTGGTTCTAAATATAAGCCGCAGTACGCCGCTGTTGGTGATTTCAATAATGATGATCATTTAGACATCGCGGTCGTGAATAATGATAAGGCAAATATTGGTATCTTCTCGGTTATGGAAATGGGATTTTTGCCGGTCAAACAGCGTATTCAACTGGTTCTAAATCCGATCCACAGTATGTGGCTATTGGTGATTTCAATCACGATACAAATCAAGATATCGTCGTCGCATATTATGGCACACACAACATAGGTATCTGCCTTGGATCTGGTGATGGAAATTTTTCGACACCATCGACATATTCAACGGGACTGAATCTAAGCCAGCATCTGTCACTACCGGTGATCTCAACAATGACAGGCACTTGAGGGTGTGAATGTGGTTGTGGCTGTGGATGTGGATGTGGATGTGTGAATGTGGATGTGGGTGTGTGGATGTGGGTGTGGATGTTAGTGTGATTGTAGTTCTTTGTTGCACCCACACCCACACTCTCAGACTTCCTACAATTTCAACACTTTTTATATCTGGAATAAAAAACCGTGAAAGAAAAAAACAACAGAAACCCATGAAAGAAAACTTTACAACTTAAACAAAGGCCCAATTGGACAAGACTATCACACATTACGTTGTAAAATAATATATAACTTATCGTCATATAATCTATCTCCTACTGAAGAACACCTTTTATGCAGAGGCTGGGAATTCTGCATTGAAAACAGAATCAATAATTTTGTCGAATTCAAAACTGATATAGAATTAAATGCAGCTAAACTAGAAAGTCATTGTCATCCCAGTGTATTTAACCAAATTTGTCGAAAAATACATAATTATTCAGAAACATTAATTACATCAATTAAAAGAAAGAATATCAGAAACATAAGTGACGAAGAATTCACTACTATCAAAACCCTCAAAAATAACCATAATAGAATCATCTGTAAAGCTGATAAAGGTAATGCGATGGTCTTCCTGAATAAAAAAGACTACATTGAAAAAATGAAACAGACTTTACAATTAAAGCAATTTAAACAAACTCAAGAATCTCTCCTTACTGAAAAAGAAAAAAAGTATGAACACCTATCTCCAAAAACTTTATAAAGAAAAAGTCATTACTAAAGGACTACTTCTTTGTCTTCGATCCACATCCTCTTCCCTCGCGACCATGTATGGTCAATCAAAAAATACATAAAATAAATTACCCTTTACGTCGTATAATTTCCTCTGTTGAAGCATATAACTATGAATTGTCAAAATATCTAACAACTATCATAAAAAACAATCGTCCCTCCTTGTCCTCCTCCTATATTCGTGATTCCTTTGCATTTGTTAACCAAATAAAAGAAATAAAAGATAGTAAGAATCAAACAATGCTAAGTTTTGATATAGATAATCTATACACGAATATACCGGTACAAGAAGCAATAGAAGTAACGCTTGATATGCTATATAAAAAAGGCACACCACCTCCTATTCAATTTAAAAGATCAGAACTTAAAAAACTTCTAGAAATGGCTGTACACAAAGTACCATTTCGTTTTCTAAATACCACATACATCCAAGAAGATGGGGTAGCAATGGACTCCCCACTAGCCCCCATCCTAGCCGATATATTTCTCTCAAAACTAGAATTAAAATTAAATAAATTCTCAACTAATAAACCTCTTATTTGGAAACGTTACGTGGATGACATTTTCTGCGTTTTTACTCATTCCCAAAATATTCCAGATTTTCTTAAACGTATAAATAAATGGCACCCAAATATACATTTCACACCAGCACCTGAACAAAGTAATCAAATACCGCTCCTTGATGTTCTAATCATTCGTGATAACATAACCAATACTTATACAGCAACACTATACCGTAAACCCACAAAAACTAATCTCTACCTTCTCTATGAAAGTAATCAATGTAGACAATACAAAATCGGACTAATCAGAACATTAGTTATAAGAATATTATTTATTTGTTCTACTGTAACACACAAAGAAACTAAACTAAAAACATTACAGGAAACATTAAGTTTAAATGGATATCCTCCTCACCTAATATGACGAGAAATACGTGAAGCAACAGTTATAGTAAATAAAATACAATATCAAAAACCATCCCCGCAACAATCACCTTCAAAAATAAAATATATATTCTACTACCATACTATGGACACGAATCTGTCATATTAGCACAAAGAATAAAAAGAATATGCAAGAAGTTCCTACCTCTCTGTCACGCACAAATAGCCTTTCGAAAAACCTTCACATTAAAAAACATATTCCTTCCAATTCAAAAAGGACTCGATGGAAGTAAAAAACAGAAATAACTAGTATATAAAATTCAATGGACTAATTGCGAAAAATGCTATATAGGTGAAACGAATAGAGAAAAAGCAATAAGACTAAAGGAACACCAAAAAGATATTAAAAAAGGATCAGAAAAATCTAATATATCAAAACATGTACATAATCATAAACATTCATTTGATTTTGAACACTCAGAAACACTATCCTTAGAACCTAATTGGCACAGACGAATAATCAAAGAAAGTTTGTTCACAGAAGAAACTTGTGGCAAAGAAATCAATGATGTAAAATTCAAACTAAAAATCTTTAGCTAAAAATATCCATTCATATACTTACATAATCATTCCTAACTCTTGCATAATAAAAAGTAAAATTAAGTCATATCTATTTATAATTGAATTTTATCCTTAACTCTAAAACAGCAAACGCTTGAACTCTAACTCTCATCGGCAAATACACATATACATCTCAAATTCACCTAAACTGCTGTAAATAGTTAAATAAATAAATTTACATGGCTACTCAATAATTGATCTAGCTCTAATATTTACTCACATGAAGTACACATATATATCTCAAAATTACCCAATTTTCTTTAAATAAATATACACTTACATTTAATTTATTTTCATCCCAACTCTCACAAATAATCTAGCTTTAACTCTGACTCAAAGAAGGTAAGTACAGATATATACATATATCAAATTCTCCTCATTTTCTTTTCTTTTCTCTTAAATAAATAAATAAATTTACAATTAATTTATTTTCATCTTTAAATGCAATAATCAATCTAATCTTAACGTTAACCCATATGACGTTTGTCTTCAATTTCATCAAACAATTAAATTTAATTGAACCAAATGATTTTCAACTAAAACTTCAAGAATCTGTTACTTTAAATCAAACAATATAACAATAATGTTAATAAATATCAATATTAATCTCATATCTAATGAAACAAAATTATGCTCCCGATACAAAAAGATACTTATATTTAATATATAGTTATACTCAAAATTAAATTTATTGAGTTTTCATCTATATGTAATCTAACTGAAAAACTTATATTTAATTCACCGAACTTGATGACCTATCTGAACACCGCTCATCTTATGCCCTAAAAGGGCAGTTTTTGGTGACCAAAGCCAAGTTCTATAAACTTATTATAATAATTCGAATTATTATAAGATGTTCCTTTTCATGTGATCATATTGTAAATGTGTTATCCTTTGATGTTAATCATGTTTGTTCTAAAGCTATATATTGTAATAGTTGTTCTGCTTGTCTTCGGTTATTTCCTGATGATGGTAATTGTAAATTATCGAAAGCTCGAAATAAACTCGTAATTTTCGTTTGAAAATTTAAATATGTTCTTGGTTGCAGTTTTATACTCTCTCATCACTTATTTACTACCAACTGCAGTTTCTTCCAATTAAAAATCTTAAACTCTTGTATAAAATGAGCTTTTCATTGAATAGTTCGATATTTTTTCAATAAGACCTACAAAAGCAATACTTTATGTTATACTGTTTTTAATTAGACTTTTCAGTTCATAACTCGATATGTCACTTGAAATTCTAGAGACATCAAAAGGAATTCAATAGATTTCTCAAATAAAGATAATCCAGTGGTGGCCCAACTCTTCGAACTTTGAAGAGAGGAGAATAGTTAGAAAAAAGTTTTTATCCGAAGTAAAGTGTGTTCACGAAACAAAATTTCTAATTGTTGGGTTTACGTTTTTACGTGTATAAAAAGCAGTTCAATCAATATTATCGCATTAAGAAAGGCAGTATTAAAAACAGAAGCGATATAGAGTGAACTATAGCAATAGAAAAAGAGAACAAGCGCATGAAAGATAGAGAGATGTTTGAAGCTAGCAAAAAATAGAAGACAGATTCCATGTTTTTTGACAGAGTTAATGTTATCTACTTTGGCTATTTATAGTAGTGACCAAAATTATAAGACCACATGTTTGAGTGCAATTGCCTACTTCCTTTCGATGAATTTAGACTCTTGAGAAAAAACGAGTTGATGTGAATATATATATTCAAGTGTGCACAATTTGAATTTATACTCAGATTTCCACATCGGGTGTAGGGTTTGGGTGGATGCAGGTGTAAGTGTGGTCTGACTCTCGAGAAAGAAAAAATTCATACCACACCCACACCCTTATCCAATAGGTATTCTTTGCACCCATATGTACTTTGTTTCTCTAGAGAAAGAATTTATTCTTATGATAGTTAATGAAAAACAAAGAATGTATAGATTATTGTTTTATTATATTGATATCTTTAAAAAATTTATCATTTCCACCAAGTTGTGAAGTTATACATTCAACTTCACATGTATGTGACGATATATACTTAGAAGAATTGAAATTAATCTTTCGTTTATGTCTATTGAATAAATCATGTGGTAAATATTTGAATCGAAGGACATTTTCTCCTTGCCAGATTCTCCAAATACGACGTCATATCTGTGAATGAAACTAACCTGAAAAGAGATCAACCGTTCTCTCTGAAAGGTTACAGCATTTTTCAGAAACGACCGAGTAGGAAAATCTGGTGGAGAAGTATTGTTAGCAGTGAAACAATACATTAAATGTAGTGAAATACTTAAAAAAACTGTTGAAAAAAATGAAATTATAGCCATTGAAATTGCTACAAAATCATTAAATAATATACTGATTTCGTCCATTTATGCACCACCAACAGCGAAAATCTACGTCAGCATTTTTAACGAATTATACAACTTAAAGAACAACTGTATTATAGTAGGTGATCTTAATGCAACGTTATACAATATGGGATCAAGAAAAACAAATGCTAGAGGAAGACAGTTACAAGAGGTAATCAATGAAGTTTATATTAATTGTATTGATGATGATAGTACGACATTTGAAAAGAATGATTATGAAGAATAGATTGATTAGATATTAGCTAGTCAACCACTCCACTCATTAATTTCAAACGTCGAAGCACATCCAACAATTGGTACGTTAAGTGGCCATCAACCACTAACCTTCGATAACCCAATTGGAACTGAACCAAAATCAGCATCACCAAGATTATCCATAAATTTCAAGGCAGCAAACTGGTCGAAATTTAGAACTAAATTAAACAAACAGCTTATGATATGGAACAAAAATCGTCGTATAAATGCTGCAGCAGATATAGAAGAATATTCGTCGTTTATTACCAACAGCATTACTGGTGCAACACAAGAAGTCATACCAAGATCAAAACAACTGAATACTAATATTAAACTAATCGAAACAACCAAACATCTAATCTAGTTCAAACATAAAACTTATCGAATATGGAAGAAGACTGGAGAAGATAGCGAAAAACAACAATATTATAAATACAAGACACTATTAACTAATTCACTTAGAAATGATAGGAAAAATAGTTTCAACAAACTTATGTCATCATTATGTCAAAAGAAAATATATTCAAACTCAGTATAGCTTACAGTTCGCAAATTCCACAACAAGCGAATTAAATAGACTAATGTTAACAACATCACATATAACAACAAAACAGCAACATCAGACAAGGAAAAAGCCAACCTATTTGCTGAATATTTTCAAAATGAAGTTTATATCAAACTACCTGACACACTACCATTTCATCAGCAAGTAACAAGGCAAACATACAACATAAAACACAGATCTTGCAACACGAAACTAAACAAATGGAGGAAGATCACGACTAAAGAAGTTAAATGGACTATCAAACAACTCCGCAACAGCTCCACGGGTCCTGGCAACATTCACAACAGATGTTCGAAGAATTATACAGAATCACTTATTCAACATCTAACTGAATTATTCAACTCGATATTAAATATTGGATATATACCAAATGGATGGAAAATAGCTAATATCATACTCTTGTTAAAGCCAAATAAAGATAAACAACATCCTTCAAGTTATCGTCCGATTAGTCTCCTCAGTTGCCTTGGCAAACTGTTGGAGAAAATGATCAAGCAACGACTGATGCTAATACTTGAACGGCGTAACATCCTATCACAACATCAAGCTAGCTTCAGATCTAAAAAGAGCACCTCAAACAACATCATAAGGTTAACAAGATATGCACGAAATCATCTACAACAAAATGGTCGTCGACGACATGCAGCTGTCATACTATTTGATATAAAAGCAGCTTTCGACTCTGTCTGGCATGATGGTTTAATATACAAACTAAATGAATTACGTCTTCCTCAATACTTAATGAATTACCTCATGTCATTCTTACAAAATCGAACTGCTACAATCGAAATAGAAAATAGCTTATCAATACCCGTAGCTTCTCAAAAGAGATACTTTTTAAATAAACATTCAGCTATTTAAGTATTTGCATAGCTATTTAAGCTTTTCACAGCTATTGAACTATTTGCATAGCTATTTAAGCTTTCCATAACTATTTAAATACTTTCGTCGCTATTTAACTATTTCCATAGCTATTGAAGGTTTCCATAACCGATCACTAATGATGCCAAATTTTCACTTTGAGAACTTTCTGGAACATAATTAGTCATTAAAGTTCATGTAACACTAGTTCCTGGTCGATGAAAAATAATTATATTTATACAGAAGGGTAGGGTGGGTAGCCGTGGGCATGGATGTGGAGCGTGACTGTAGTATTGATTAACTGTCCACGCACCCAAACTCGCATTCATCCGACGCCCAAGCCGTTTTTACCCTTCATCTCTCCCCCCCCGCACCCTTTCTCGAAACAATAACTACCGTTGAAAAAATCATTCATTTGTCAGTTAAACCGCAATACCAATATATAGACTTTTACTACCAATCACCAAATAATGTTCCGACTTAAAAAGCTATTCCTGCTGACGTTTACGAGTATCTAATATAAAATAGGCACCATAGAAATATTTTAATGGCAATAGAAGGTTTAAATACCTATGAAGCACAAAAGTACTCACGCGACTGTTTGAATAGCTGTGTAAGATTTGAATACTTATGCCACTACTTCAATAACTATTTAAATACTTAAAAAGCTATGCGAGTAATTAAAAAGCTATAGAAAACTTAAATAGCTATTCAAATACTTAAATAGCTATGCAGGTGCTTAAATAGCTATAGATACTTTAAATAGCAGCAACTTTTCAAAGTCATTTGTACTAGCCATCAATATCATTTAATTTAAACAGCGGTACTCCACAAGGATCTCCATTATCACCATTATTATATATTATATACACGGCAGATTCAATGAATGGAATACCGGAACACACGGAATATGGTCTATTTGTCGGCGACACTGCTCTATGGACATCTTCAAACACAACATCAAGCGTTAGTAACAGATTACAACAAGCAACAGATACATTTCAAAGTTGGTGCAAATCATGGAAACTAAAACTTCAACCAACAAAAACTGAACGAGTCCATTTTACTGTCCATCCAAGAAGAAAATTTAAAAATCCAATCTCCGTAAAAATAGATGATCTAACAATTCAACCAACACATTCTACAAGATACTTAGGCATCATCATCGATAAAACGTTAAATTGGAGAAGTCATATCCATCATATCGAATCGAAGATTGCTAGTCGTATCAGTTTACTAAGATTCTTAAATAAAGCATCTTATGAACCGAATGATAGGATAATGTTAAACATCTTTAAGGCAATAGCAAGAACGATCCTTATATATGGTTATCCAATATTACTCACAGCGAATGATAAAATATGGGAACGCCTACAGATAATCCAAAACAAATCAATAAGTGCAGCATTAGGATTGCCCATCTACACATCAGTTGAATATATCCATAAAATTAGCAACATGCCAAAAATTAAAGAATATGCTGTGACATTACTGCAAAGATATATTCAAACTGCAACATCCAACAACGATAATGAACTAAAGCACAATTTACAAGAAAAATTGAACCAACTTTAAATATTAAATACACTTCGAAAACAAATCACCTACCTATGTTATATATTATATATAGCATCGTTATTATCGATCACTGTTGAGTCGACCGAATCCATATAAAAATTATTATATCGGATTCGCCGACTTCAACTTTCCATCATATATACAATTATCACAACTCCCATCATATAACCTCTTTTCACGAGACATAAGACATTCGTCAAGCGTCTCGGCGTTTCTCTCCAGTCTTCTGTACATTTGTATTATATTGTTGCTTTTTATTCGTTAACATCTTAATAAAAGCTTTGACTTCAAAAAAAGGACATTTTCATCGATCAATTTCATAGTTTTATCGTTGTTCAATCGTTCAGATTGAACTAAAATAATTGGAAGTATTATCGACAAAACAAAAAAAAAAGGAACTAGTAATTATCAAACTCAATTACAACCTTTATAGGTAGGTAATATACTTAATTGATCGATAGCGATTGTGAGAATGGTGATGATTGGATAGGATAACATAGAAAAAAATCGAAGATAGAGTTAAAGGTCTAACGTAGTTTAGCAGAAGCTTTTAGTGATAATGGTTATATTTAGAAACAAAGCAATCAAACATATTATTGTTTAGATCTAATTGTAATATAAAAGAAAATTTTATTTGACGATACGATGTTTTTATTCATCAGAATTCAGAACTTATAAATTAATTAACTCAAAACAACTGTTGTTATTAAAAAGCTTTTTATAGGCTTGAAATATGATTAAAATTATGATATTCAAATAGGACATTAGTACATTGTTTTTGCAAATTTAACTTTTGTCACCTTGTTTAAATGAACTGACATACACACTAGTGAATAAAGCATTGCTCGTATAAATCGATGAATGTCTTTCATATTTAGTGAATAATCATTAATTGTTAAATTCGACTGACAAGATTTAGTGACATTATTGATAAGTCTATTCAAATGTTTCTATACAAATAGATAGTTTGATTATTATAATGATCAATATAAAAAATCAAGCAAACATTCATATTCGTTTGATTAATTCAAACACAATGCCATTGAACACTTATTATTTATAAAATGCATTAAGTACATCACTTTTTTGATGATATTCGCAATGTTTGATTGAAAATATTTTTGCTTTGGATTTACTTCCTTGTTCACAGCACAATTACAAGATCTAAAAAAAAGGGATTAAATTATATCAGTACTGACAAATATCAAAAGGCTCTTCAAAACATGAAAATGAGAATTTGTCTGTAGAAGTAATTAGTCGTTCTTTTTATCAAATCTTGTTTTCATCTGTTTGATTGTTTTACATATACAAATACTAAATTGTTCATTTTTATATAACTAATTATGTGCCATGCTCTTTTCTGTGATATAAATAAACTCATTCAAATGATTTATGTTATTAAAGCAGAAAGTCACGTATTGAAACATTTTATAATGTTAGCAAGAAGACTTGCTAGAGAAACTATTTATTCAACGGCGATCAAAGGAGTGGGCTCAACCTACTATAGACTTTATTAAGTCTATCTTCGAAACTTTAAAATATTTGTATTTTTACGGCGGCATTCTTATCACATAAGCTTATTTTATTTTGTGTTTTACGGTGCGTATTTAGAATGTTGATATGGATCCTTGTTGTGTTCACACCCTCACTAAAACTTTCAGACAGGTTTCAAACTGGTAGAGAAATGGTAAACTAGTCCGGTCCGATGAGAAACCGGCCGGTTGGAATTACACGTCCAACCGGTGGAATTCCGGTGCAAACTGACTAAAACTCGGCGGAAAATGTGGAATTTTTTTAAAAACGATTTGTAGAAAAAATGGCTTCAAATATGAAATAGCTTAGGGGCTCATGGAAAAGACACTCATCACCATGAATCGTTTTAAAGAGAATCTCAGAAAAAATGATTAATGGAACATGTTTTAAACACATTTTTATACATTCTGACAGAAAAAACATGTAACAGGTTAGTTTTTATGGCCAAAAACAGGGTTAGCAAGAAGATTTTTCCAATCTATCAACCGGTGAAATTCCTGTATCTATCGGTTCGTTTGATTTCCTGAACGGATCCGGTCCGGCACCAGCTGGCCGGACCGGTTTCAACTCTGGTTCCAGGTAATATTCGCTTCCGATCAACAGCAGAACAGAACAGTTTTTAGTGTAGATTACTGATGAACATAAGTTCGAAACTATTGATGAAGTGAACTAGAATTTCTCTAACTATACGGATGTACGAAAGTAAATTAATTTGATGCTACTAAATAACTTTAAATATTTCGGTAAACTGAATATTTTTTCACTATTCTATCAGCTTCTGTATTGAATGTTTGAAGAAAATCTTCTCTTGTTGATTATCTCTCCTCCGACTTTAGTCATGACATGATGATGATAGCTCCAATATTGTTCACCTTGATTCGAATGACGCTTATCATTGATAGATGATATTGCAATAGACAATCCT